ACATCTACCTAGGGGTAAGTTGCTACCCCTGCCCGTTCCACAACGGCCATGGTCCCACCTCTCAGTGGACTTTATAACAGACCTTCTCCTCTCCCAAGGGAATACTACCATCCTGGTCGTTGTGGACCGGTTCTCTAAGGCCTGTCGTTTGCTCCCCATGCCGGGTCTTCCTACGGCCCTGCAAACTGCCGAGGCACTGTTTACCCATGTGTTCCGGCACTACGGGGTACCCGAGGACATTGTGGCTGATCGGGGTCCCCAATTCACCTCCAGAGTCTGGAGAGCGTTTATGGAGCGGTTGGGGGTCTCGGTGAGCCTCACCTCGGGTTACCACCCGGAGAGTAATGGGCAGGTGGAACGCGTAAACCAGGATGTGGGTAGGTTTCTCAGAACATACTGCCGGGACCGGCCGGAGGAGTGGTCAAGGTACGTTCCCTGGGCCGAGATGGCCCAGAATTCCCTTCGCCATTCCTCCACTAACCTAACTCCATTTCAATGTGTGTTAGGTTACCAGCCGGTTCTGGCACCCTGGCAGCAGAGCCAGATCGAGGCTCCTGCGGTGGATGAGTGGGCGCGGCGCTCGGAGGAGACTTGGAACGCTGCACACGTCCACCTGCAGCGGGCCCTCCGACGTCAGAAGGCGAGCGCTGATCTCCACCGCAGTGAGGCACCGGTGTACGCACCTGGTGATCGAGTCTGGCTCTCTACCAGAAACCTGCCCCTCCGCCTGCCCTGTCGGAAACTGGGTTGGCGGTTTGTAGGGCCATTTAAAGTCCTGAGAAGGTTGAACGAGGTATGTTATAGATTACAGCTACCTGTGGAGTATAAGTGTATTAACCCCTCGTTCCATGTGTCCCTTCTCAGGCCGGTGGTAGCGGGCCCACTCCAAGAAGATGAGATCTTGGAGACTCCTCCGCCCCCGTTGGACATCGAGGGGGCACCGGCGTACTCCGTGAGATCCATCTTGGATTCGAGACGTCGGATGGGGGGTCTCCAGTATCTAGTGGAGTGGGAGGGGTACGGTCCGGAGGAGCGGTGCTGGGTGCCGAGGAGAGACGTGTTGGACCCGTCGCTCCTGACGGAGTTCCATCGGAGGCATCCGACGCGCCCTGCGCCGCGTCCCCCTGGTCGTCCCCGAGGCCGGAGTCGGCGCACGTCTGGAGCCGCGCGTCAAGGGGGGGGTACTGTCACGGTTTCGGCCGAGGCTGCCTCTCTCCCTTGTTCGGGCAGGCTTCGGCGTTCGTCGTCTCCGGAATTCTAGCTGCCACCGATAGATGTTTCATGTTCGTTTGCTTTTGTCTGTTTGTTTCCACACCTGTTTCTGTTTTACGTATTTAGTGTCCTATAAGTTTCTCGTTGTGTTTGTCTAGTGTTGTGTATGATTGTTTCCGTCAGTGTTGTGTGTTGCTCGGTTGAGCGTATTTCTCCACTGTGCTGGAGCTTAGTTGCACTTGTGTGTGCACCGTTTCATTTTGTCGCACCTGTTAGTGCGCATTTGCCTTTCGCCTTCGTGCGTGGTTTAGCTGTCGGGCTTAGTTGTCCTGTTGCCTGTGTTGGGCTAGAAATACAGCTTTTGGAACCTTCAGTCTGCGTCCTGCATTTGATTCCTACACTACACCATACTACACGCCTTGACATTTAGAAAATCTCAAAAAGATAGGATTCAAAATGTCAATACTCTAGCACCCTCCCCTTGCGAGGATAAAGACGCTGAGCCTTTCTCTAAAATGTTTTATGAGATTAGAGAACACATTGGGAGGGATCTTAGACCATTCCTTTATACAGAATTGTTCCAGATTGTTTATATCCTTCATCTGCAATTCTGGACCGCCTTCTTCAATTCAAACCACAGGTTTTCAATGGGGTTCAAGTCCGGAGATTTAGATGGCCATTGCAAAATGTTAATTTTGTGGTCAATTAATAATTTATTTGTGGCTTTTGATTAGGGTTATTATCCTGCTAGAAGATTCACTTGCGGCCAAGTGTCAGCCTCCTGGCAGAGGCAACCAGGTTTTTAGCAAAAATGTCCTGGTACTTGGTCAAGTTCACATGAAATCTTTTTCAACCGGTGATTGTCAAGCAAATAACTGCAGGTCTCACAGTAATTTACCGTTAATTTACATAAACACATTTAGCATCTCCTGGCTTCCAGGCATAGCCTACAAGCCACTGATGCAGACCTTTGGAACATCTACATTTAAAAAAGTCTAATAAATACATGTAATATAGTCTACACCATCACAATAAATCCATTATTTATTTTAGACAGGTCTAAAGAAACATGATATGAAGAAAATGTAGTCTATTTCAGAAGAACAGAATAACATACTCTGAGTTTTCCTTATGTTAGGCCCTGATCTGGCTATGCCATATGGCTGTGTGCTACACTTGTTCATTTAGTAGACAAGATTTGCTTAGAATTCCATGGCATTATTTTATATTATACAACGGGTGGGTCTAATCCTGAATTCCAGCCGGTGTCTATTCCACAAGTTATCAAACTAGCTGCACTACATGTTAGTCTAAAAGAGATGTGAAATAATGTCTGAATGCTTTTTATAGTGGAGATGAAGTTTATAAATTGCCTGGCTGGGCTGATGAGACAGTGGATTGTGCAGTCAGATGGAACAGAGTAAATAGTCATTTTAATGTCATAGATTTAGCCAGTGGTAACTTGTGGAATAGACACCGGGTGGAATGTGGTTTTAACCAATCAGCATTCAGGATTAGACCCACCTGTTTTATAATAGCAGGAAAACACCATTCTCAAAAGTGACCGCAAATGTGATTATGCATGTAATGCTTTTATTATAAAGGTGCATTTTATGAAAATGATCTTCCCAAACTTGAAACTCACGTGCTGCATATGTATGCCAGTTAGGCTCTACACCCATTGTAAAGTGGATTAATGTGCTTCATTTTAAGAAGTTATTTGGCCACTTTAGTGTTTTGACACAAACCTTATGAAAACATATAGGCCTATGGGCTAGGCTACGTGAGGTGTGCGACTATGATTGGAAAAGGTGCACAAAAAAAGGCATGCCCTGTTTCTTGCCTTAAACTGGGCATCATTCACAAGTGAAATATATCATTCACAAGTGATAGGCTAATATTGTCACCCATCAGACTATTCTTGAATTGAATCTTGTCTTTACATGTACTAAATAATATATGTGCGAACTTTGTTTTGATTTAGAATGGACCACTATCATGCACCTGTCTCGAAATAGGGGCAGGGGAAGAAAATACATGTCATCTATGCACTTAAACACTTTTCCCGAGGTTAATTGTCATGCCAGGCAGGTAGGCTATACTCATGTTGTAAAGAGAAGCAATGTGCTTAATATTAGGAAAGTTGAGAAATTAATATAGTAGGCCTAGCCTATATATTAATTAATAATAGTAAGCTGATGGGATCCTCCTCTTTTTAATAGAGGCCATCACTCTGTTTTCTCATGCAATTGCATAGCCTATAGAAATGTTGCGCAATATGAGCTCATGGGCTCTAATTAAGTGTTTGATTAGATTTTCGATTACATTTGCATTGATATCAGAGTGATTTGAGGGACAATAGAGTGCTAAGTACTAGGCAGTTAGCAAGTTTGGTAGGCTACTAATGGCCATCAGCAGAATCAGAGCTTGGAGAAGCCTAGTTACCGTGACTTAACGGTCACGTGGAATTTGACTGCCGGTATTGCAGTAATATGGTAACCAAAACAGCCCTATTCATGATGCCATTGTCCTTAACAAGGGCCCCTGGGCCAGTGGAAACAAAATAGCCCCATAACATCAAAGATCCACCACCATATTTTACAGTAGGTATGAGTTACTTTTTTGCATATGCTTCCGTTTTTCAACGCCAAACCCACCACTGGTGTACGTGGCCAAAGAGCTCTATTTTCATGTCATGTGACCATAGCACCGGATCCAATCCAAGTGCAAATGCCGTTTATCAAACTCCAGGCGGTGCTATACTGCCCCACCAAGCAAAAAAGCAGTAACTGCTCATAGCGTGGAACTGAGAAAAATTGCTTTTATTTACCTTGGTTTCACAGTAACCTTGTGCAGTTACTACTAACATGACACCCATTTTCTCCAAAACACAATACAATAGAAGCAGGATACTTGTCCACATGATTAAGCATGTATTTAATGTAGCAGAAATGACATTAACTCATTTTCGACCAAATGAGCAGTTACTGCCTTTTTGCTTGGTAGGGCAGTATGGTCAGATGACATGAAAATAGAGCTCTTTGGCCGCAAGATGCTGTATGGAGGAATGGTCTAAGATCCCTCCCAATGTGTTCTCCAATCTCATACAACATTTTAGAAAAAGGCTCAGTGTCATTATCCTTGCAAAGGGTAGTGTGCTGGAGTACTGAAAACAGGGGTATCAATATTTTTGACCCGTATCTTTTTTTATGACTTGTTAAACAAAATCTCTTTATCTGAGAAACCATTTTGAGCATGCAATATAGCTCAGTATTTGTATTATTTATTATATACAGTCTTTTTTGCTCATCTTCATCAAGGGTGCCAATAATTATGGACCTGACTGTATCTCTATGACACTGGCATGTGAACGTCTGTTAAACAAAGTTGTACTGTATGTCTGTCTGTCTGTTAAAGATATACAGTATCTAGCTCAAGCAAGTGATGATACCTATGTACGAGTCCACAAGAGTTCACAAAAATCCCCTCTGTGAAACTGACCAATGAATGAATGAGACCTTATTTGGTCATCTGTTGTGTAGTTCAATTAACTTTTTCAAGCCTTTCACTGGCCCAAAGGCAATGGACAAGGGTGAACAACTCCGGTCCTGGAGGGCCGAATTAGACCTGGGAGACTAGGTATGTGCACTGGGGTACTAAGGACATTGTGATGATGATCAATCAATCAATCAATGAGCAGGATGAGGGCCCTAGAGGACAGGAGTTGGGTATCCCTGGCATTAGGGGGTAGGTGGGTCCCCCTTTCACAAAGCGGCACAGGGGCCGTGGTAGTGAAATAAGTAGACTTTATTGGAGTTGGGGGGGTGAGTTATTTCCACGGTCGGCTGTTCTGGGATCTGGCACTTTCAGAACCGGCCAGGGAGGATGCCTGTTGACTCATCCGAGCACTGGACGCTTTGGAGTGGGCACTGCTGGTAGACATGCGGCTGCTGAACCGGCCTGGGAAAGAGAAAAACACACACAATCTCACATCAATGATAAGTAACTTGTTATTGCCATCTACTGGTAGGTTGTTAGTTACTACACAATGCAACAGAAGGGCTCATTCACCAAAGTTTTATCAACTTTTCTATATCCATCTACTCAGAGCTTGCCAATCTACTCTTTGCTGTTAGCCTGTTAGCATAGCCTTACTGTTGGAGTCTAAATGGTATGTGCTGTTAGCCTGTTAGTTGTTTGCCTTGTGAAATGTGCCTTACTGTTGGTGTCTGAGGGAATGAGCACCTCCTCCAGGTGTGTCTGGATGTTGGCCAGGTCGTCTGAGGTGAACCTCCACCTCCTGTCGGCTGGCAGGAACAACTGTCTGGGGGTGGAGCGCTTTCTGCCTGCTGTCGCCCTGGGAGACGGGAGGCATGACGCCGGGATGGAGCCTGTTGTCATCCCCTCAGGAAACGTCTGAGCTATCACCTTCAGGCCTAGGGGAGGGAGGGAGGGTGAGAAAGAGGTAGGAGGGATAGTCAGCGAGTTTAACATAACATTCAATGTGAGTGTGACAGTGCAGTGATTCCAAAGCTTCCACTTGAGCACAGTACATCCTGAACTGACCTCCAGATAGCATGAACAGGTTCTTGAAGCCCCACTCACACATGGTGGTGGCTGCCTGCCATCCTCTCTTCCTCATCATAGACGATGATGATCTTACCCGAGACATTTTTCTGCACACAATTAGGGTTAAGGGGATCCCATTCATTACATTACAGTGAGGTAAACAAATGGATGATCAAACATGTCTGTGGATATTTTACTAGTGTATAGATTTCAGATTTAATGTGAGTTAGGCAATAATAATATGGTGTTAGTTGTTTCAGTGGAAGGATACATAATCCAGCACTTCCTTGGTGTAGGGATTCATTGTTTGTGACAGGGTTGTGATTGGGTAATTGTATGCTGAGGAGAAAATAGAGATATTAGAAAATTACATAGAAAAAATAATAATAATAATACCATCAGGGGCAAACAGGTCCTATACACTGAGTATACCAAACATTAGGAACACCTTCCTGATATTGAATTGCACCCCCCCCCTTTTGCCCTCAGAACAACCTCAATTTCATCGGTGCATGGACTCTACAGGGTGTCGAAAGTGTTCCACAGGGATGCTGGCCCATGTTGACCCCAAGTGACATCGATAAGGGATCATAGCATTAACCTGGATTGACCTGGTCAGTCTATGTCATGGAAAGAGCATCTGTTCCTAATGTTTTGTACACTCTGTTTAGTACACTCCATAACTACCGCTATAATTTGCTGGTCTGGTCACGTAGTCCTGGTCCAATATTATTTCAATTCTAAAGATGACATTACGAACTCTGCTGGGATGTTCAGATAGATATGTGGAATGAATGCTGAGAGGGATAGGGTTACAGCTGTGCCTGGGGATATGGGTTGCGGTTATGGATGTGGTTTTATAGTTGTGCAGGTGTGAGAGAGAGTATGTATCAGTGGAGGTCATATTGAGAACAGGTCTGTGTGTCGTTGTTGGTGAGGGTGTGTGTGAAAGAAAGACACCGTTCAAAGTGGGGCACTGAGTGTTACCTTTGAAGCAGGGACCTGGGCAACATCGTTGTTGTTGTTGACGAACTGAACCAATGTGGGGATGAGCAGTGGGGAACCATTGGGCTGGTCAGACAGACGTGCCCCGTCTGCTTCAGACAACTGACTTATTATCTGCGGTGGAAATAGAGCATAGAGATGCTGTTGTTCAGTTAGAGTACTGCCTCAATGTTAATTAAAACTAACGTTAGTTGACTGACAGTGCAGGTTTGGTTGACTCAGTGCAGATGGGCATTCTCAGTTAATTTAAATGTAAACTGGGGCTGCAGATCAAATTGATAATGGTGCAAAACATAAATAGTGCCTTATTTGTCAAAAAACTAATATTTTTCTTACCTTCCAGCCTTGGTGTTTCATCATAACTCACACTTTTGTTCAGGTCCGATACCGATGCTACCTGAATTACCTGATGAAAAAAGAATAAGAAAAACTAGTGATTGAATATAACATGTAGGCTACTTCCACGCAAACAAAAATAGCAGATGCAACTCTCAGAATAAAGAACATACAAGTATGTCTTTGCCATCACTGAACTAATAATACGTTTAACTCACCAACTGTGCAAATGTTGTCAATTTAAGCCTTTTGAAGAGTTTATCCTTTCTGTACCTGTAATCTAATCAAACATTTTCAGTTTCTCTCAAAATAGTTAGAGAACAGTCAAGAGTACAAATTGGAAAATGTTCAACAAAGACATGGAGAAACCCTAAGGATTTTCTCTTATAACTATCCCAAAAGTCAATCTCTACAGACACTAGTCAATCTCAAGCCCCTCACCAGTAAATCTAAGACCCCCTCACTACAGTGTTTCCCCTATATTCACAGACACTGCTATGGCACAGCCACCGCTTGCTATTCATCATCTCCCTTACAGTGGAACGTCCTTTTAAAATGTCACCATAAGTGACCTTCTCACAGTCATTCTACAAACAGGTTTTTTTCTGCATAGAAAAGTAATGGGGGGGTCGCCTAAATCCAAACATAAAAAAACACACATTGTAAACTTAAACGACTAAAACCAGATATAAAGTATTCTCTCAGCTCCATGGCAAAATGTGTAGAATTGCAGGAAAATGTGCTTTAAAACAGCAAAATTGTGCCTGTGGCCAAGAGGGCCTGTAAAAATAAAAGTGTCGGGCGGCGAGTGCACTAGTGCCCGCCCACACCCCCTCACCCATTGCTTATCCCTGAGAAATCGTAAAAGAAAATGCCTGAGCGGAGTTCCCACATCTGGTTTTCAGCAGAAAAGGAAGCTAGGTTGAATTAACTATATCCCTGAAAACCGGATGCATTAACCTTCTTGGCAACTCCGCTAAGGGTGTGCATGAACTGAAACACCAAACAGAACCTGATAGTGGACCATAACTGTTCTTCATGACAGAAAATGCTTAGTTGGCCCATCACAACTCAAGTAGCCCAAGACTGTCCACTGCTCCTTGTTTTAGTAATAGGGACAAAATGCAGGTAGTTGTGTCACAATGACAACAACCCTACCAATCGTTATTGACAACAACAACCCTACCAATCATTGTCGGTTGAACAACTACACATTTGTAGATTGAGGGCAAACATATCCCCTTATCTTTTTACAACACCTGTTTGGATATGTTGAACTGGAGTTATAGATTTCAGGCTAATGAGCCTCCCTAGGCCCTGACCCAATCTCAGAAGTCTGTAATTAAATCTATCTTACTTTTCTTAATCTCCTCCAGCCTCTCCACATACTTCGTCAGGCTGCATCCAATCAAATGACAACAGGTTTCACAACACTGACGATAACAAGCAAAGATTTGATTAATCAATATGATCTACTGATTTTCTCAATAAATACGAACGCATCGGAGTTAGGGCCCAGTCGATACCAGTATCGCAATATTTTTTTATTGGCAAAAATGAAAACACGAAGCAGAACAAATTCTTTGGTCCTTTAAAAACCTGCTGCATGTAAAATATTGTGTGCTATAGCTTGGAAAATAAATAAATGTGACTCTGGATGAAAACATAATGATGTTTGTGTCCAACATTAGGGCTGTTTTCCTAAAGAAGTTAAATCCGCTTTGTGTTTTGTTTCCTTGCCACGATACTGACGAGTATCGCGATACTGGTATCGTCCCGGCCATAATTGGAGTCCTTTGGCACTGGTAACCAAGCCTATAACACTTGAATAACACGAGTTGTGGAATATGTTGATATTTGGGGTTCTGGGGAATTCTCTTTTTCATGTACTGTGAGATGGGGAATACACAAAAATTTGTGATTTGCTCTGTTGTCATGGCACCCTTTACCAAGCTGTATAAAATATTAGGCATTGTGGAGAAAGAAGAACTGCTGGATATGTACGGCAGAGTTCCCCTCCAAAACTACACATATTTGGTTAGTAGAGACCCTAGAGAGTATTTTCCACTCCACTTTAGCTGAGACAGGTAGAAAAGATCTCTCTACAGCCCAACATTCTCAACATACCAGTGTCAACATAGTATTTTTTCATTATTGGTCTTCAATGTTTTTAAAAACAGATATATATATATATATATTTTTAAATCATTAATTCCATATTGCCTTTTCTTGTTGGCACAATAAAAATGGGCATTAATTAAAATTCCAGATCTTTTGAATGAGTAATCCACATTGGAATGTTTTGAAACGCAGGCTTTTATTTAGAAGGGTTCCTCATTACTATACAAATGTCATTTGTGCTGCTAGCAGAATACTAGTTGGCATATTACATTTTACATTTTAGCAGACGCTCTTATCCAGAGCGACTTACAGTTAGTGAATGCATACATTTTCATACTGGCCCCCCGTGGGAATCAAACCCACAACCCTGGCGTTGCAAACGCCATGCTCTACCAACTGAGCTACACAGGACCTATTTGAGAGTCTTCAAATAGCCACCTTTATTACCCATGAAGGTCATGATAGGCCACAGAGTCCCTAAACCCAGAGGCGCAACATTGTGAGATTCCCGGGAACACTTGCAAAACAGACCAAACAGGCCAGGCTGGGGTTTGAGAAGTCAATGAGAGAAGAGAAACATTCTTCCTTAGTTGTTAATTTTCTCAAAATCTAAAGGCACAACCTAGATTCAAGCCAATGTCTTAAGTAGACGAACATGTTATTGCTCCAACCTCAAAAACAACTTTATATCAAAAGAGAGGCTTTGATTTGATGGCCTGCACATGCACAGATCAGCGCGAGACGACAGTTAGACCCGATAACGTATTTCTACGCATGAGCTTAGCTAGCCAACGTCACCCTGACATTGCCTACAATTTCTATTGGAGAAGCAGTTTAAGCCTATATTCATACTGTACTGTCTTTTTGGTTAAGCTCACTGGAAAAATCATGTATTTAACATTAGGCCTAACTCTAGCTAGCAATGTCTGACCCTGGACAAAGCAGTCATGCACTACAGAAGCTGAATTGTTCATTAATAGTCATACCCTTCCATTACATGTTTATGAAATGTTTCAGTGCCTGTCAAGTCAACCCAGCAAACTTGCTAACGTTAAGCTAGCTAGCTAATTAAAAAGTGTTTTGGCAGGCTAACATGCTAGCCTGCTAGCTACATTTAATTTGATGATTGAAGATCTAGCTAGCTAACTAGCTAGCTATGATAGCAAAACTAGCTACTTTTCCTCATCAACTAGCTAGCCAGCCCTTGATCATGACTCGTAGTTCCATTACATCACACATAAGAGTCATTAGAAGAAGGCGTCTTCTGTACTGGGGAGTTATGTTAAGAGCCCTGACGCTTGGTCTGAACATTAACACGCATCGCTTGCGGTACGGTTTTGGAAGTATAAGGACCTTATCTTTCATATCAGCAAAGAAACAACAACAAAAAACGAAAGGTTAAATTGATACACACCCTTAGGGTTCCCACACGGCCATATCTCCATGTTACAGTGCGTGTTTACTAAAGACAGACGGAAGACAGAGGGACCACCTATGCTAATTAAACTGAACAAAAATATAAAACGTAACATGCAACAATTTCTAAGATTTTACTTAGTTACAGTTCATATAAGGAAATCAGTAAATTGAAATCAATTCATTAGGCCCTAATCTATGGATTTCACATGATTGGGAATACAG